GTGCGAAGGGAAAAGAGTCTCACAGTCAGGAAAAGAAATTGGCATTAGCTCAGAACAGACTTGCTTATACCTTCCTGAAACTCTTACGCTGACATTCAACATTGTTCTTTTGGGTATGATCCTGCACTGCTGGTGAGATTAATTATATTTTACCCCCAGAATATGAAATGAATCAAAATATGAACTACCTAGGGACAATCCATCCCTGAGACTGAAAATATATTTTCTATTTTCCTTCCCATCCAAATAAGTCAGGCTGCATTGTCCAACACAGCTTATCTTAGATCTGTAATGAGACTGAATGAACATTAAAAACAAAAAAAAAAAGTTTTGCCAAGGGTACATGTGATCACCAGAGTAGAAAGAGAGGCAGAGAGAGAAAGAAAGGAGAAAGCACCCTCAACGGAAAGTGAGCACACCTCAATCCTTTTTCCTTCATCTGTCCCTCCGTTTGGAATTTTGGGAACACATGCATACACCCAGTGTGCTTTTCAAGACACCAAGTCTAGACGGGACCAGCAGTTAGTGTAATGGCTATGTTGCTGGGCTCTCATGTAGTTGACCACGGTTGAAGTCCCGGACCCGGTGGCTTAAACTCACTCCGGGTGCATGTGCATGCGTGCCTTGGATCATTAAAGGAGAATGGAAGAGAAGGGATTGCAGCGTGGCCATCCTCCCAGGGGGGTGATTTCTCGCTTTCTGTTTCTCTCTGTCTTTCCAGGAAACAAACGTACCCTATAGCAAAAACCTCTTAAAAAAAAAAAAAAAAGACACCAAATCTAGGACCTGAACCACATGATCAGCCATGGAGGATCCAACTACCTTAAACACCATGTCGCTAGCTGGTCCCTGAATGACAATATTAACATATTTTACTAAAAAGTTTACAAAGACTCAAATGCCAATTTCAAATGCCAGCAATATGGAATTGCCCAAAATCTGAATATTAAAGCCCTGAATCAAATTCTTCTGTCCTTGCAAATTATTTTTGACAATTCATTCTTATAAAGATTTATTATTTTTAGTCTATGCCACAAAAGTTTCTAACATCTGAGAGATGTGATTTCTTAAGCATCTTTATGCTGAAGCTATTTCTGCTTGGAATTGGTGTGGTTCCTTGAAGACCTCAAAACTTGTATTGGTTCAGTGGATGCCAACTCTCCCAGGAACCTCACCTTTTAAGAGACCAAAGAGCTTATTAGACAAACATGGTTAACCCAGCACTTGGTATACTCATGAAATTTAGGAGCCAGCTCCTAGCCTCTAATGTAATAAATAGTCCCAGGTGTGATTGTGATTATGATCTCTGCACTTAATCTTGAGAAAGACCATAGGATCTGTCCAGTTGTACAGAAAAGAGGAGGAAATTCCCTACTAGAATGTGCCAATCTTTGCCAGTTGTCTGGAATCTATGACCCGTGAGTATAAATTCAATTGAGAGTATTCTTCATTCTTCCAACCTGGCTATTTGCCTGAAGCCGATAATGGATGAGGATAGTAACTCAGATAATGCCCCTCATAAATCACCATTATCATCATAGTATGATTTGTGGAATACTTAAGAACTAGGAGCTTTTCTGAGAACATGACATATATAAATATGCTTAATTATCATTACCCCAATATATAGCATCTTTCTTCCTCAGTTTTAAACAATTTGGGAAATAAAATGAAAAGAAAAATCAAGACCAAAGGGGCCAGCAGGTGGTGTGTGGTTAAGGCACAGGACTTTCACATAGTCAATCCTGACTCGAGTCCTGGACTTAGAGGCTTAAAAATCATGCCAGGTACATGTGGAGTCATGACCAAAATCCCAAGAAAAGAGTGGAAGAGAAGGGATCGTGGTACGACCTTCCCTTCTGGGAATTGATTTCTCACTTTCTCTCTCACTGTCTCTTTCTTTCTCCAGTGAGT